GTATACTAGCTTGCACAAGCTATCTAAGCTGCTTCAGCCTTGACACAGGAGTTATCAGAGGAAATCATAGTTTCTGTGACAGGACAGTTCACAACATCAAACATGAAAAGATATCTGATGAATATTAGGAGCACATTCTTTGATCAGATGAGACCAAGAGTCATTTGTTTGATTCAGATGGGGTCCATCATGCTTGATGCTAACCTGCTCAGGACTACCACAGTAAACATTGTCCTGACAGTGAAGCACAAAAGTGAGAGTGTGATGATACGGGGCTGCATGCGAGCAAAAGGTGTTATGGAGATCAGATTTTTAGATGACACCATGAGTTTCTGTGGATATAATGGCTGACCATAGATATGTATAATAAAGGCTAGCTGTCTTAAGGTGGCGTTTTGAACGGGATCACCCTTTGGCCATCTTGATACGAGCAAGCTCTCTGGTGGAACCTGTGGTACGTGAAGGAAGATGAGTGATCTGCACAGACATAAATACTCTTATCTCGCTGAAATCTTGACAGATTTACAAACAGTTTGGTTTCTTACAAACGTTATTCACGTGGCTACAATTCAAATTACAAAAATCCAAATAAAATACAAAATAATTAAAATACAAATTGTTGCTGGCCATGAGAGTGTAACATAACTATCCATAAGTGCAGTGTTATAACTACACATGCACCACTGCAACACAATGTTATGGGTGAGCGAGCTGACTGTACCAAGATGGCCGCCAGTGTGGCCGTGTGATTCCACTGGCTGGCAGCGTGGACGAGACATCTAGCCTTTATTATGTATATCTATGTGGCTGACCAGGTGACTATCAGTCTGCACAAACTTGAAGAAGAAGAATATTCCTGCATAACAATCCAAAGCACAAAATCACAAGAAGTTCTTGAAAAACAAAGGACCTGGTCAAGTACATCCCCACTTGAATCCAATAGAGCTCCTTCGGGGTATTTTAAAGAGAAAGGTAGAGCAACACAATCCTCCAGCAAAGACTAGCGATACAATTTTGAGTCATTTGAATAATATCACAAGGTCACAAGGGTGTACTCATTTCTATTGTGCACTGTACAAATACAGATCATTTAAAGTCGATTTGGGTAAGAGCTCTTGTGTTCTCTGGTGTTTTTTCTTCCCCTCAGAATGCTTCATTTACATGTGAGCGTATGTGTTTGTGCAGAATAGTTTGAGGAACAGGGTGTGGTAGGAATTGGGGAGTGGTCCCCTACCAGGCACTTCTGTTTTAACATCCCAGTGGGCTCAGATCGGCACCAGCATGGGTTTCATTATTCTCCATGAGCCCTGCTGATGTGGGCGGCAGCTGCAGTGAGAAAGATGCACCCCGACTGCAACAGAAAGTGTGTCTTTGTCACAGTCTGACAGTATGAAACAGGTCAGCGCAGCATGGAGGGGAGTTAGACTTCATCGCAGTAAACTGATACTAAGCTGCCTAACAGATTAGACTGTGAGGTTCATTGTGTCTTTTAATGGCGTGATCTGTGTGCAAGTGTGAGCGTGGTCCATGTAAAAAGCTGCAAAAGTGATGGTGGAGGTCACATGGAGGTCTCTCAGGGTTTAACACTCGTCCGTCACCATGACTTCTAACACTGTAAAATATTACCATCACTACGTCGCCATCTTAACAGCAGTTTCCCTGAGGTTTCCATCAAAGGGATCAATAAAGTTCTATTCTATTCTATTCTATTCTATTCTATTCAATTCTTCACTGTCTTAGACTGCCGCAAACACTCATATAAACAATGATTAGTACCAGCTAGCTGTCTGGTGTTATTATGTAACACAAAATGACCGTAAAAGACACGCAAAACAACCAACATGAGACACAAATAACCCAACAGTGACACACAATGACCTCAAATGGACACAAAATGACCAAAATGTGACACAAAACAAAAGACAAAAGAATGTAAAGTAACCCAGATGTGACAAAAAATGATCACAATGATGCAAAATAACCACAATAACACACAAAACGACCAAAATGTGACACAAAACGATCACAAAGCAATGCAATATAACNTGTGACAAAAAATGACCACAATGATGCAAAATAACCACAATAACACACAAAACGACCAAAATGTGACACAAAACAAAGATAAAAGAACGTAAAGTGACCCAGATGTGACAAAAAATGACCACAATGATGCAAAATAACCACAATAACACACAAAACGACCAAAATGTGACACAAAACGATCACAAAGCAATGCAATATAACATAAAACAACACACAAAACGACCAAAATGTGACACGAAACAACTACAAAGAGACATAAAATTATGCAAAATATCTGTACGATGCAGGTGGAGACACAAAACAACACCAGCGTCTGTGTGGCTTTCAGTTTGGATGTGTTGCTCCTCTCTGGGACGAGTTGGAGGCCTCTGACATGTCTGAGCCCAGTGCTTCTTAATCTGCCTTTGACAATTATTAAGTCTATCATTTACCACCTTCACTCATATTTTCGAGTTGAAACAACAAGTCAGATTTTACAGTGAAGCAGTCGCTGCATCGCGTACAGTGAAAGGCAAGGTCTGTGGCAGCTTAGCTCAACAACACACAAATATATGCACACACACACGCTTAACATCTGTCTCCATGCATACACACACACACGCACACACACACACACACACACGCACTCTCGCTAAAGCAGAACAACATCTGTTTGTCCTTTCAGACTGGATGGGAGTTTCAAAACAAACAACCGTCTTCTGATGCATATCACCACCCTACAAAAATAGACACTTCTGCTTTTGTCGACCTCACAACTGTGTGTGAGAGTGACACAAACACACAGACACACACAAATTTTAACAGCACTAAGATATATTTTTTAATCATCATCAGAAACAGGGTATTCATCTGTTAGTATCTCAGTTGGGCACGAATAATAATGATTTACTAACAGACTTAGCTTCTGAAGGAAATGACATTTGGAAGATTAAAGTAGAAATTATTACAGAAAAATTAATTTTAGTGAGCAAAAATAACTAAAAATAAAAATAGGCATCTAAAATTGAGTGTTTCTGACCCTGTGCCTGTATAAAAGATGGAGGTAGTGACTGTGAAGTCGCTCACTGGTTGAGGTGTGACGTAAATAGGCGAAGCTGAGAAACATCCAAATTGTCAGGAAGGAGATTTAACATTTAACCTTCATTTAGGACACAACCTCCAACAATCTGGAAAACACTGGCTGCTCCTGTAGTATGGATTCAATCCTACCAACATGGCAACTCGTGTTGTTCAGTTCAGTGTTTCTGAAGACATTCTAGGCCAGAAATAAGCCAGGATGTGTCTTCATTCTACACAGTTAGTCTGAAAGTTTCACTATGATATCAATAAAGTAGCTTTAACTGTATGCAAATGAGGAGCAGCCACCCTTGACTACCCATCGTCTGACTCACCAGATACAGACTTCACCTGAGTCACATGTTCCATCAAAACAGTTCCCTCTTCAGAATTCTGCAGCAGCAGCATCGCTGCCCAACCAAATGATTGGTTCAAACAAATACAAACAAGATAAAGTGTTTTTTCCTCTATAGCAGAATGATGATGAGGTGCAGTCAGACCATTGACGCTACACTGTGTAGAATGTTCCGACTGTAGGACACATTGCACAGCTGCATTGTGCTTTGCAAGCTGTCCGGTCTGAACTCTGTGCATGGATCTCCTGTGTTGTTTCTGTTCAATTTAGGCTATCCATTGGTTTTCTGGTTCTAGCTGTAAGTCTTAACTTCTTGCCAAGAAAGCTTTTCTGACTTTTTTACAAAATGGCACACAAAGTCACTTGTTTTGTTATCTTGCATCATCATACATTTATACAAACACAAGTTAAAGTCTGCAGCATCTGAACTTCAGACTTGATGCTGCAGGCTGTCATGTATTTAGAAAGTGTCATGAACTCACTTACAACACAAATGCGCGACACAGATTGGGTTCAGGAAAAAGACAGGTTCAATGACAGTCAGGGTTCGGTACAGAAATTCAGTCCAACAGGCAAAAGTATCCAAGAATCGGCAGGCAGAAGGCAAGGTCCAAAAAACAGAAACAAGGTCATGATCAAACAGGCTATGACTTGACTTGAGTAACGCTGGTACGAGGACTGTGAAGAGTAACGAGACTGTGAGACACACAAGGTAATGAGGGGAGATGGGAAACAGGTGAGGGAAAGCCATCAGGGAGCAGGTGTGACAAGACAAGTGCAGGAAGTGACGGAGACACTTAGTGATTTCAAAATAAAACAGGAAAGACAAGACATAAAATGTGCAAACATGAACAGGACTTGACAGACATGACAGATAGATAGTAGAATCAGCTCCTCATTTATGCTGACTTTACCTTTAAATTAATTTCAAGTTGGGTTTTAAAGAATAACGCTGGTTTAATTCAAACTTGCTTGTTCCCCAGACAAACCATGTTCATGGATGAACAGCGCAGGCTGAGACTGATTTAATGAGTCACAAATGGGACAACGTGCAAATGAACAGTATATTTTTACAGCTGTAGCTGCTGCTGATGCATCGTCTTGGATTATGAGGCTGGGGTTGGTGAGATTCTTTCACTTTACAGAAGTCTTTTTAGTTACATTTTCCACGTCTCGGTTCACATTGAACGCAGCGAGTCTTTCCTCTCAGGTAAACTGGTTCAGTTCTTGCCAGTATTCCAGTGAGGCAGCGCGCTGCTGTCTGGATAAAACGGCTCATTAAACACCTGCGCTCTTCATGTTAAAGACTGAATAAACCAGGAGCTCTGTTCTCTTCAACTTCTGCCTCGTTCTTTCACGCCCTCCCGCCGCGCACCTGCGCTCCTGTGCGCCGCCGCGGCAGACGCGGCGCGGCGCGGCGGCGCAGCAGCGACCTGTCTCTTTAAGTTGGTGTCAAAGCCGATTACCGCTGATCTCCGTCGTGATTCTGTTTTCACCGTCTGTTCCCTCAGTCTATTTTTGTTTGCGTGGCTGTCAGTGCGAGTAGTTTTTCCTACATATTTATTGTATATATTTTTATTCAACATTTACAGCGCGGACGGAAAACCTCCAAAGTTTCCAGCATGCAGACGCGCTGAAGTGTCGCTGCTCTGAGCGGTTCAGCTGCAGGGAGAGACCCGCACCAGAGCCCCGGTCTGGGCGCTGCTGAGGCTGATGCGCGCTGCGCCGCGGACGCTCCAACTTTTTATACCATGGTAAGCCTGGATTACCTTTTTCCTGCAGACGGAGATATCAACCGCGTTCTCTTTGGCGTCTAAAAATAACGGCGGCGGTAGCGCATCGGGAGCTGCGGTGTGATGTGACGCCCCGGGTCGCTGTTTGAAGTTGGCACCGAAAATAAAGACTGAAGTCCATAAAATGCAGAAGAGCGTGCGGTACAATGAGGGCCACGCTCTGTATCTGTCGGTGGTTGCGCGTAAAGAGGGCACCAAGCGCGGCTTCCTGAGCAAGAAGACCACGGAGAACAGCCGCTGGACCGAGAAGTACTTCGCCCTCTACCAGAACGTTCTCTTCTACTTCGAGAACGACCAGAGCACGAGACCCTCCGGTATCTACCTGCTGGAGGGATGCACGTGCGAGCGGGCACCGGCGCCCAAAGTGTCCGCGATCAGCAAGGAGCCGGTGGAGAAACAGCAGGTGCGTCCCGCCGCAAAGTTCCCCCGCTTTGTAGCTTGAGGATGCAGGCTGCTTTACAATGAGAGAAACTCATGTTATCCCTCTTTTATTAACATTTGTGCCAAAAATGGTCAGTTTACTGTCATGAAGAGAAAGAAAAACGTCAAATTGGTGTTTGTGAAGCTAAAAGTTTACCCACATTTTAATTTTAGGATGCAGGCTGCTTTTTCAATCAAGAAATGTCATTAGTTTACTTTGAATGCAGTCTTTTTAATTAAGAAAATGACAAGTGAAGGTAGCAGCAGGTAATATGCACATTTATGCCCAAAATATTCAGTTTGCTGTCATTAAGAGAAAGGATAAACATCAAATTCTTATGTTTGAGAAGGTAAAAGTTCATCCACGTTTTAATTTTAGGATGCAGGCTGCTTTTTTAATTAAGAAATGTCAGAATTTTACTTTGACATGAAACTAGCAGTACTTAATATGCACATGTATGCCAAAAAATATTCAGAAAAACATCAAAATCTCATCTCGAACAAGCCCAAAGTTCACCCACATTTAAGTTTAAGGTTGCATAGTTAATCATCAGGGATATTATTTCACTTTACTATGTGCAAATTTCTAAAAACAAAAAAACTTACACTCTACTATCAAGATGAGAAACATCAAATTCTTGCATTTGAGAAGCTAAAAGCTGCACACATTTGAGGGTGCAAGCTACTTTTTAAATCTAGGAAATATCATGTTGTCATTTTTCCACAAAGGTTACAACAGTTAATATGAACATTTTATGACAAAAAATATACTGGTAACTATCACAAAGAGAAAGAAAACACCTCCAATATATGCACATTTTTACCAAAAACATTCAGCTTACTATAAATTCTCATGTTGAGATGGATTAAACATTTGATCGCCCTCTCCCATATGGTTGTAATAATATGGACACTAATGTGTGAAAACAGTGAGGCAGAAAAACAAAGCTCAGCACTATCAATTAATGAAATGTTTGCAGAATTAGTTTTACAATATTAGATCTATGAGAGCTAATTTTAAATGACCCACATTCCTTTTCCTACTGCTGCAGGGTATCAAGATGTTTTTATCCCATCATCAGCTGCCATAATATAGATATTTTTTGGTAAACTAGCAATGTGTGTATAACGTTAATCTAATTTTTAGACATAACCTGGATTATACCAGTTCATCTCACCTTTTACGCCTTGTTAGACATGACTCCTCTACCTTCTGGAGGCAAACAGAACAGACATGTAGCAGTTTGTTTACAGCTTTAGTGTGGAAACAGTTCATCTGCTCACACACTGTCAAGACGCTGAAACAGGAGGTCATTTTTTTTTGAAGTTATTTTTTTCACCTTTCGTGGCTTTATTAGATAGTATATAGTTAAGAGAGAGACAGGAAAGTGGGGGAGAAGAATGGGGGAAGGACCGGCAGATTGAAGTGTCATGAGCCAGATTCGAACTCACTACTCACCACTACTACTTTAGCCCCTGTACATGGGACGCCAGCTCAACCAGGTGAGCTATCGCGGCGGCCCAAACAGGAGGTCATTGGATGGTTTCTGATGCTGAACTTTAAGGCTCACTCAGTTTTTTAAAAAAATCTCCATGTTAACAAGTAGACTTAAATCTCCCATTCGACTCCAAAGACATTTCTGTATGCAGGGCTCCAAACTAACTTTTTCATGGGTAGCACCGGTACCACCAACTTTCTTATTTGGTCACACCTCCCACCTTGTCCCAGGCAAAACACATCACTGGTTGAACATCTGCTTATCGATAGACACTACAATTTACAGATGTTCTCTCCCCATGTTGCAGACTGTGGTAGCTGCTGCTTGGTGGCTGTGGTGTGCTCACAGAGGTGTGTGGCCGAAACATATTTTGAAATGAGTTCAACTGGGGCGTTCTGGTGTCAGATTTGTCCGAGATGAAACCAAGTAATTTTTTTTTGTACAATGTAGAGCGTACCTACTCTGCTGTTCTGCTCATAGAAAACAGCGAAGGCAGGTGTGCTACACATTTCATTTTTTAGTGTAAATACCACCGTCCACCAAAGTTCTGAAAGTGCTGCTTTCCACCACTGTAATTAACACAGTAGCTGCGTGCGCCAGTTACAGTGGCACCAACAGCTTAATGATCATCATGCACGAATACGACCAGCTGACATTTCACCAAGTCAGCACAATCTCAAAAAATAGTTGAAGATTCCATTCAATTCAGTTCAATTCAATTTTTTTTGTATAATGCAGTTTACAGCAAGCGGTCAGCAACAGTGGGAACCAAAAAAAAAAAAAACCCAAAGAGAGGGGGAAAAAAAACCTCTGACAGAACCAGGCTCAGGAAAGGCAGCCATCTGCCTCAACTGGTTGGGGTGAGAGTGGGGATAGCAGGATAGCAGATGGAGAACAAGCAATAGAACAGAACAGTAAATATTTTGAGGGTAGGTGAGGCCAGCGGCTGCAGATCAGAGACATCCATGGAGAGAACAACCACAGGACCTCGGGGGAAACACAGGGGACCAAAATGGTTGCAGTCTGGAGCCCTGAGGGGTATACTACGAAGCGAGTTTGACAGAGCCAGGCTTTCTTTGTGTAAGCCAGCTCGACAAACACTAAAGCTCCAGCCAGAGCTCACGTGTATCATGAAAGTGGTTCAACTTTCTTTGTCAACTCAGACTTTTTGCTTCAGACTCTGTGCACGTTCACATGAAGAGAGGCTTTTAACGTGTCATGTGACTCTTCTTCTGCACAAAATGAAACAATCATATGCAGCTGCTTCAGTCAACACGTTGTTTTAATGGAGAACAATGAAGAATATAAAAAATTATGATGATAAAATGCGCCGCTACTGCAAATGGTGTAATGCTGGTAGAAAACTGTTAAACCTGTTCATATATCATATTTTACAGATGCAGCCGCTTATTTCCAACCGACAGCTGCACCTTAAAGTTAAACTTTAAACTGAATATATTTAAACATGATGTGGTATTGAAGTACATTTAGGCCTGACACTGTCCCATAATGCAGGACATCACTTTAATTTGTAGCCAAATCAAAGCAAAATGAATGTTATTGAATGAATATTCTCTGTAATACATACCAGCAGAATAATCCATGTTCTCATCCGCTGTACCAGCAGAGTAAACGGACTTGACAGCAAATCAGAGCCAAACATAAAAACATATTAATGTGATTTCTGCATCACCAACTGAATACATGTCTGGTTCCCATAGCAGCGCGATATATACAGTGTGTGATACTGTAACTACATGGCTTCATTCAGTGATATCACAACTCGGTATGTTTGCAGATAAAACACATTCCTCTCATAAATAATAGTCAGGAAATGATGTCGTTAAAGGGAGACGCTCTTTCTAGCCGATTTAAATCCGAAACTCTGAACATAACCTGCTCCCGACCACAGCATCAGTTACCATGGAGATCTAGCCAGGTAAATAAAGAACCACCTTCAGGACACTGAGAACTCTGACTTTAAGCTCAACATACCTCGCTAACCTACTAATCTTGCTTCGAAGTACAGCCCTCTGGTATGTTCAGGGTACATTCAAAATCCAGCCTGTGGCACTAAATCATGACCTCTGCACTTGCCACCTCTCTTGTTAAGATTTAGGGAAACAAGGAACCTTCAAATCACAGTAAAATCTCTTGTTTTGTCCAAAACCCAGAGATATTCAGTTTGCTATCGTAGAGAAAGAAAGAAACTAGAAAATATTTACATTAAAGAAGCTGCAATCCAACATTTTAGACTTTTTTCTTTTAAACTGCTAAAATGTTGACCATCAAAATAAGTGACATTTCATTTATTCGTTGAATAATAATCATTGACAACTAAAGTAACTGTTCCAGTTCTAGTTGCAAAAGGTAAGAAGTTATTTTGTGTGCTGGATGTTTGATTTGCTATGACCTCTGCAACACCAACATACAATGAATGAAATATATCCACAATAAACCAAACCAAAACTCAGCTGGCAGGTGTAGCTGAATGGAACTCCTTAAAGCATTTAACTAAACTAGGTTGTCTAGTTTTTGTGTTTACTTTCAGTCAGAATGAAAACTAACGTTAAAAACTATGACTTTGTTTAAAAAACAAAAACAACTAAGTCTTCATTCCCCAGGTTTAAATAAACCCAAATTATTCTTTTAAACAGTAACTGTCAGTGTGCAAATACATTACAGGTGAATATTTTAAAATCAAACTAAACATGAGGACATCCATATTAAAGATGGTTTGCTAAAAAAACAGTGAAATGTAGTAAAAACCATGTCTTAAAGATGCATCACTGACATGGGTAGAACATGACGAGTAATCTCTTTTGAAAAAACACAAACTGCGACACGTCACTTATCATACATTTAGAGGCTTTTAGACTTATTGACCGCACATCAAGGGCTGAGGGCTAAATAATTTATATATAAATATTTTGATCCCAGTCCAATATAGCAATAATCTGATGGGCTCTAATGGTCTGTTCAGATGAAAGTCGTCTGACTCACTGTATGTAGGCTGTGGGTATAAACCGCCACACACTGCGCATCCTTTTATTCAGCTTTCTACGTGTTATCATTTACAAAATCGATTTAACTTTTGGAAACAACAACACAACCTCCAAGCAATAACCTGAAGAAAATGTCTAATTTTGACAAGGATTCATATTGCGCACTAAACTGAGTGACAGTGCTCATCGTCCTGCATGCAAATGTTCCACCAAAACAATTTTCCTGACACTATTTTAAGGAAACATGTTGCTCCCTCCTTTGCTTAGCTCTACCCAAGATGATTGTAAATGCTTTAAAAGATATACAAACAAGCCAGAGTGGGTTTTTTTGCCTATAGCAGAATAATGCGGAGAATGGTCTGGCAACGTGGGACTAAAGATTCAAGATGTGAATAACCTGTTGCATACAGTGCATATAAAAAGTATTCCCCCCACTGGAAGTTTCTCCTTTTATTGATTTTCAACACTGAATCATGTTC